AGCTCTAGCTCCCCATTCACAAACAAAATATTTTGAGAAATGTACAAATTTTTGGCAAGCTACACTGCGCTGTATAACAGACTTTGGGGTTAAACTGTTCATGTATGTTTTAACCCCTAAAACAGGGGTGTCCAACAGGTAGCTGCCAGATGTTTTAAAACTACAACTTCCATGATGCTGTTATTCTAAAAGCATTCTAAGGGCATGCAAAAAATCATGGGAGTTGTAGTTCTAAAGGTAAGCTGAAACTAGGAACCTCCTGGCAATATAACAACTTTAACTTCCAATTAAGTTATGTTATGGAACCAGAAATTATCCTTTCAATTCCACTTATTGCCAAAAGTTGAAATACCCAGTTTGTCATTTTACCCAACACTGTCTATGGTGTCGAGAGGTTTCATCAAGTTTGCAATTTGTATTAGAATATTCAGTACACCAGAAATTGGAGGTAATTGCAGTTGGGAGTGTCCCTTTAAAGTGGCACTGCCATTTATTTTTCTTTTGCAGGGTTAAAGGACGTGGGAAATTGCACCTAGACAGCTTCAATGAGCTTCACTAAAGTAGGCACCCACTTTAGGGAAGGTGAACTAGGGGGGCAGAAAGGATTGATCCTAATTTAAAAACAAAGTGAAACGACCACTTTAACCCCTTAATGACCAGACCGTTTTTCAATTTTCTTACCGTTAAGGACCAGGGCTGTTTTTACATTTCTGCGGTGTTTGTGTTTAGCTGTAATTTTCCTCTTACTCATTTATTGTACCCACACATATTATATACCGTTTTTCTTTCTAAAGATACCATTATTTTCATCATATAATTTACTATAAAAAAAAATATAAAATATGATGAAAAAATACTTTTTCGAACTTTGACCCCCAATATCTGTTACGCATTTACAACCGCCAAAAACCACCTGTGCTAAATAGTTTCGAAATTTTGTCCTGAGTTTAGAAATGCCCAATGTTAACATGTTCTTAGCTTTTTTGGAAAGGTATAGGGCTATAAGTACAAGTAGCACTTTTTTTTTGAAAAAAAAGTTTTTTTCAAAAATTAACGCAAGTTACATTGTAACACTGATATCTGTCAGGAATCCCTGAATAACCCTTCATATGTATATATATATATATATATATATATATATATATATATATATATATATATATGTAAAAAGCAGACATCCTAAGGTACTAAACATGGGGTATTTTGACTCTTTTCATGCAACCATTTTACCACCAATCTATGCCAAATAAAAAATAAAAGAAAATAATAATTGGTGATTTTTTTGACACACATAGCAATTTAAGAATACATGTACTGGGAACTTTAAGGGTTACTGCCAAAGAACACCCCAATATGTGTTCAGCAACATCTCTTGTGTACAGCGATACCACCCATGTATAGGTGTGTCATGTTCTCTGGGAGCACAAATACCTTATTTGGAGGGTGCGCATTCCAGTTTTCCAACTTGGAATTTTTGCACCTGGTCATCATGCAGCCATTGCCTATTTGGGGCATTTTTGAAGCTGGCCAATGTAATTTACCCCCATCAAACCATATATTTTTGAAAAGTAGACACCCTAGGGTATTTCAAATGGTGGTATTTTAACACTTTACATGCACTAATTCTACCACCAGTCTTTGTCAACCTTTTGGGTAGTAGTTTTTTTGTATTATTTTTCACACACATTTTACTTTAGGCATGGATTCTCAGCTCCTGTTATGTATTACTGCCAAAGAACACCCCAATATGTGTTCAACAACATCTCCTGTGTACGGTGATACCACCCATATATAGGTGTGTCGGGTTCTCTGGTGGCTAAAAGATCTTATTTTGAGGGTGCGTATTCCAGTTTTCCAACTTGGAATTTTCACAGCTGGTCATCATGCACCCATGTCCTTTTTGGGACATTTTTGAAGCCGGACAATATAATTTACCCCCATCAAACCATATATTTTTTAAACGTAGACACCCTAGGGTATTTTAAATGGTGGTATTTTAACACTTTCCATGCACTAATTCTATCAACAGTCTTTGTCAAACATTGTACTTTAGGCATGGATTCTAAGTTCCTGTTATGTGTTACTGACAAAGAACACCCCAATATGTGTTCCGCAACATCTCCCGAGTACAACAATGCCCCCAATGTACAGGTTTGATGGGTTTTTGCAAACTTACAGGGGTCAAATGTAGGGCTTTCCCCTTTTCCATGTTTGCACATTGAAATTTGCCAGATTGGTTTGCTGGGCCTATGCTGCCTTTGAAACCTTATAGCAGCCCAGGAATGAACATTAACCCCATCATGGCATACCATTTATAAAAGTAGACAACCCACGGTATTTAAAATGGGGTATGTCCAGTCTTTTGTAGTAGCCACTTAGCCACAAACGCTTGCCAAAGTTAGCGTTCATATTTGTTTTCTGCATTTTTTTTTCACAGAAACTGCACTTTTACTGATTTTATCGTCGTGATACGTTTTACTGTTTTTAACACTCATATTTGTGTTCAGTGAAGTCTCCCGAGTATAATAATACCCCCCATGTACAGGTTTTATGTTTTTTTGAAAAGGTACAGGTTCAATATAGGGCTTGCCCAATTCAGTTTGCCAGATTGGTTTGCTGGGTCTGTGTTGCCTTTTGAGACCATATGATAGCCCAGGAATGTGAATTAACCCCATCATGGCATACTATTTTCAAATGTAGACAACCCAGGATATTTCAAATGGGGCATTTCCAGTCTTTTGTAGTATCCACTTAGTCACAAATGCTGGCCAAAGTTAGCGTTTTTATTTGTTTTTTGCATTTTTTTTTACACAAAAACTGAACTTTTACTGGTGATTTCATCGTCGTGATAAGTTTTACTAATTTAAACACTCATTGTTGTGTTCAGCGAAGTCTCCTGAGTATAACAATACCCCCCATGTACAGATTTTATGGTGTTTTTAAAAGTTACAGGGTCAATAGAGGGCTTGCCCAATTCAGTTTTCCAGATTGGTTTGCTCGGTCTGTGTTGCCTTTTGAGCAGTCCCCCCCAACCGCGATCGCCGCAGATCACCAGTACAGGTAAGTCCAGGGCTCCTATTTACTGCGGTCATACTAGGTACGTCCGCAGTCCTTAGCGACTGTTATTTTGTCGGACGTACATAGTACGTCCACGGTCGTTAAGGGGATATACATAGATATGTATATATCATTTCATTTTAAGTGTATTTTGATATAAATATATTTCTATATATATATATATTATAAAAATACAGTTAGAATAAAATTACATATATTTAATTTTTTTAAATACTTTTTTGTTTTTTATTATTATTTTTTACAATATATAAATATATACACAATATATATAGTTATTATATATATTATATATATAGGTGTGCAATTTTACTCAAAGTGTATTTTTATATTAATATATGTATATATTAATAAAAAAATACTTAGTATGACGTTATATATAGGATATATATATATATTTATTTATTTTTCCATTTATTACCTTTTTATACCTTTATATTTAAATTTTTTTTTTTTTTACTTTTTTCACCAGCAGGCAGACTGCCTGCCAGTTCAGGAAGTCCCCCTGCCCGCAGCACTGTGGACACCTCTTGCGGCCATGTGACGGCTCTTTTAGCGCGGTCACATGGCCCCTGGGAGACCTAAATTGGAGAGGGGGGACTGTCTGGGCTAGACCAATCGCCGGTGGGGGAACAGCGGCGATCAGTAAGTACATGGTAGAGGGAGGGTAGGGGTTACATTTGTAAAAAAGTTATTTTTAAAAAAAAACTTTAACTGAGTGCCTCGACCCCTCGAGGCACTCAGTACAGGCAGAGCTTTAGAAGCCTGCCTGATGGCTTCCGATACTCTGCCTCACTGCCAGGCTTCACGTGGAGCAACCCGGAATTGATCACTTTTAGGGAAGCGATCACCCGGTGTTCTCCGGCATCCACCGGCAGTGAGGGGGGTATTGCAGTGATGCCTCAACGTCAAGGCATCGCTGCAATACCATTAGAGCTGCTGTAAGCAATCATGATCGCTTCCCCGTGGACATACCTTAAGGACCTTTTTTTATCGGACGTACCCGATACGTCCTTGGTCGGGAAGGGGTTAAAGGGACACTATAGTCACCAAAACAACTTTAGCTTAATAGAATAGTTTTTGTGTATAGATAATGCTTCTGCAGTCTCACTGCTCAATTCTCAGCCATTATGAGTTAAATCACTTTTGTTTATGATTATACAGTCCTAGTCACATCTCCCCTGGCTGTGACTGACATAGCCTGCATAAAATTTTTTTTAAAAAAGTTTAATTTTCAATCAGATATTAACTTCAATAGTTTTTATCTCCTGTTCTGTAAATTGAGCTTCAGTCACTCACAGGAGGCTCCTGCAAAATATAGCAAGCCATTAGCATAGCAGGAGATAATAAATTCTAAATTAAACAGTATTTGCAATAAAAGAGGTGTAAACATTAGACAACTCTTTACAGGAAGTGAGTAGGCAGGCTGTGTAAGTCACATGCAAGGTGTGACTTGTGCTGCATAAACAAAACAGATTAACTCCTAAATGGCAGAAAACTGAGCAGTGAGACTAAGGGACATGATCTATACACCAAAACTGCTTCATTACGCTACAGTTGTTTTGATGACTATAGTGTCCCTTTAATTCCTATTGACTTAACCCCTTAAGGACCAAACTTCTGGAATAAAAGGGAATCATGACATGTCACACGTCATGTGTCCTTAAGGGGTTAAACTGACTCGCATAATCTTATGCCCAGCCAGAGGTTTTGAGAGCAAGGTTTGAAGTGGTGAAAAGCTTGATATGTGGGTGACATCATGCATCCCGTGACGTCAGTCTCAAAAAAATATTAAAACTACATCTTTAGCAGAACTGGAGTTGCGTTAACTGGTTATATACTAGAGAGTTCCCGTTCTGGAACGCGAAAGGTTAATTATATCTGCAAATCCTGGTTCTGTATCTGAGGCTGGGTACATGCACTCTATGTATGAATTCGTGCTGACTGTGTACAGACACACTGGGGTCACTCCCTTGTAGGAGGTAATTAAAGGGTTTGTGGGTGTTCCCAGCACCGCCTGAGAGTGTTTGAGAGAGGTCTCAGGGGAGGCAGTGACAGAAAGAAAGAGACACTGTGGAAGGGAGAGACTGAGGACCAGGACTCACCAGACCCCCAGGTGCTGGACCTGATTAAAGCATGCTGCTATAGAGAGGCCGCCAACTGCTGAATGAGAGGGGATTGAACGCACTGCATTCTAATGAGAGAATACTAGAATACTCCGCCGTTCCATGGCAGCTGCTGTGTGTACTGTATGAAGACAGTTTAAGAACAGACAGCCTGGTGACAGTGAGTCCCGACAAAAATGTCTACGACCCTGATATCGAGCATTACCTCAGGATATCAGGTGAGGGTATTGAGAACAGCTGAGATCTGTCTGTCCCCATAGAGTCTCTGAGCTATGCTGCTGACAGAGCACCCAGGAACCGCAGGCTCAGCATTACTAGGCGGAACGAAGAGAAACAAAAGGGGGGGGGGGGGGATTGCAGGGTTCAGCACCTCCATACAGTGCAATAAATTTGGGGTTCCCTTAGGACACAAGAAGCAGGTTTATGTATAAATCAACGTATAGTGTAAGGGTTGTGTATCAGAAGAGGCAGAGCATGCATACCCCATTAACTTTTAAGTTAGGAAGAAATATACAATGGAATGCACATGTTGCTATGTACTCTATGGTACATACAGTGGGATATAGGAGATACTATAGTAGCGTTAATTGCAGGGAAGGTGTACACAATAAGGGAGATCAGGTGTGTGATTGAAAGAGGGCAACTTGCAGTGGTGCATGGTCTGGAGTGTAAGAATATGCAGGCTGCAAGAGAGGGGAACTTGCATTGTTACACTGCAGGTTCGTATTGCTGTGGTGCATAACCGAGCTGGCATCAGAAACAGAGGGAAACTTTAATTTGATTTTAGAAAATAAGGTACATGAATTATCACACAGAGCCAATATGCATGGTTTCCCAATACTAAAATATAACTGGGAAAAATGGGAAGAAAAAATCAAAACAGTTTATGGTCTTTGATATATTTATTGTTAAAGTGCATTGATGTAAAACATTTTTCTTTTTGCCATATACTTTATTATGTTTATTTCATTGATGGATGGATACCCCTTCCCATTTCCAAGTTACCCCTCCTTTCCTACCCCTAATACAATGTTTGTATTATTATCATTTGTTATATAAAAAACTTTAATAAAAATTATTTGAAAAGAAACAGAGGGAAACTAGGGATTGCTGAGGTGGACTGGAACAGGAAGGGCAGTGGGATTGCGGTGATGCACTGCTCCAAAGAGGGCGGCGGCATTGCAGTGGTGCGCTGCCCCCGAGGAGGAGGCGGCGGCATTGCAGTGGTGCGCTGCCCCCGAGGAGGAGGCGGCGGCATTGCAGTGGTGCGCTGCCCCCGAGGAGGAGGCGGCATTGCAGTGGTGCGCTGCCCCCGAGGAGGAGGCGGCGGCGGCATTGCAGTGGTGTGCTGCCCCCGAGGAGGCGGCGGCGGCATTGCAGTGGTGTGCTGCCCCCGAGGAGGCGGCGGCGGCATTGCAGTGGTGCGCTGCCCCCGAGGAGAGGGAGGCATTGCAGTGGTGCGCTGCCCCCAAGGAGGTGGAGGCATTGCGGCGCTGCACCCACTGCCCCTGAGAACTTGTGGTTTATGCAATTTGAATGCTACAGGAGAATGAAGGGGATAGCTGTAATGCAGTGCATATGTGAATGCATTTCACACAGGATTAATATGGCATATTAACTATCTTTGCTGCTGTTGCAGTGAATTAACTTATTTAAATATTCTAATCTAGTGTTTAAGGGGAAGGGGTTGGTGACTTGTCTTTATCACATTTATTCATCTGGTGACGCTGATTAAAGTTCCTAAAGAAGAGGAAACTGCTAGAAGCGTTCTCATCAACACTTGTTTCTTTTTATTCATTTTGTGTGATGAGCATAGGCCTGTTATATTTGGAAAATATCATTTGTGTTCAATATATATTTAATCCCTTCAGCAATATGGGATGTTGGGTGGCAGGGAGAGGGGCACTGCAGGATTCTGCAGTGACCGGAAAATGGAGTCCCTTTAAGCGACCATTCCATACCACCTTGACTGTCTAGTATTTGTAGACTTTATGCCTACTTTTACAGGGACACTATAGTTACCAGAACAACTAGAATCATTCCGTCCAGGCTTTTTGCTGTAAACACTGTCTTTTCAGAGAAAATGCAGTGTTTACATTACAGCATAGGGACACCTCCAATGGCTGCTAGAGGTGCTTCCTGGGGCAGTGCTGCACAATGAGCAGCACTGCCATTCAATATCTCCACCCTCTGTATGCAGACACTAAACTTTCCTCATAGAGATGCATTGGTTCAATTCATCTCTATGAGGAGATGCTGATTGGCCAGGACTGTGTTTGAATTGTGCTGGCTCTGCCCCTGATCTGCCTCCTTGACAGTCTCAGCCAATCCTATAGTGAAGCCATATTTAAAGAAACAGTATAGTGACATGAATACAAATGTCTCTATAGTGTTAAAATGCAGTTTAGTCCCCCTTGGCACTCTTTAAAAAGGTAATAAACTTACCTTTATTCCAGCACCATTCGTGTTTCCTGCAGTTGGCTCCACCTCCTTGGCTGAGATCATCCAGATTGACAATCTCTGCCAATCCTTTGTTTTCTTATAGGAAAGCATTGGGAGGCTATTGCACATGCGCAGCAAAACATTGCGCTGCACCGATCAGCATCTCCTCCTACAGATACATTGAATCAATGCAACTCTGAGCGAACGTTCAGCGCCTCCACGCAGAGCGGGGAGACACTGACCAAGAAGGCACCTCAAGTGGCTGTATGAGTGACGGTCACTAGAGGTGTTCCTATGATGTAATGTGAATACTTTCTTTTCTCTGAAAAGGCAGTGTTTACATTAAAAAGCCTGCAGGGACAGGATATACAGTGTCTTGCAAAAGTATTCACCCCCCTTGGCATTTTTCCGTGTTTTGTTGCCTCACAGCTTGGAATTAACATGGATTGTTTGAGGATTTGCATCATTTAATTTACAGAACATGCCCACAACTTTGAAGATTTTTTTTTTTTTTTAAATTGTGAAACAAACAAATAGGACAATATAACAGAAAAAGTCAATGTGCATAACTATTCACCCCCCCTAAACTCAATACTTTGTAAAGCCATCTTTTGCAGCAATCACAGCTCCAAATCGCTTTGGATAAGTCTCTATGAGCTTGCCACATCTTACCACTGGGATGTTTGCCCATTCCTCCTTGCAAAACTGCTCCAGCTCCTTCAAGATGGATGGTTTGCACTTGTGAACATCTTTAAGTCTGACCACAGATTTTACATTGGATTGAGGTCTGGGCTTTGACTAGGCCAGTCCAACAAATTTACGTGTTTCCCCTTAAACCACTCAAGTGTTGCTTTAGCAGTGTATTTGGTATCATTGTCCTGCTGGAAGGTGAACCTCCGTCCTTGCCTCAAATCACGCACAGAGTGGTACAAGTTTTGCTCAAGAATATCCCTGTATTTAGCACCATCCATCTTTCCCTCAACTCTGACCAGTTTCCCAGTCCCGGCTGCTGAAAAACATCCCCACAGCATGATGCTGCTACCATCATGTTGCACTGTGGGGATGGTGTTCTTTGGGTGATGTGATGGGTTCTCTCCAGACATAGTGCTTTTCTTTGATGGCTGAAAAGTTCAATTTTAGTCTCATCAGAACAGAGCACCTTCCTCCATACTTTTTGGGAGTCTCCCACATGCCTTTTCGCAAACTCAAAATGTGCCATTTTGTTTTTTGCTGAAAGTAATGTATTTCTTCTGGCCACTGTGCAATAAAGCCCAACTCTATAGAAACTCCAGTCTCTGTTGTGGAACTCTGCAGCTCCTCCAGGGTTACCTTAGGTCTCTGTGCTGCCTCTCTGATTAATGCCCTCCTTGCCCGGTCCGTGAGTTTTGGTGGGCGCCAGTCTCTGGGCAGGCTTGCTGCTGTGCCATGTTCTTTCCATTTGGTTATGATCGATTTGATGGTGCTCCTGGGGATCATCAAAGATTTGGATACTTTTTTTTTTTTATTTTTTTAATAACTTAACCCTGACTTGTACTTCTCAACAACATTGTCTCTTACTTGTTTGGAGAGTTCCTTGGTCTTCATGGCAGTGTTTGGTTAGTTGTGCCTCTTGCTTAGGTGTTGCAGCCTCTGGGGCCTTTCAAAAAAGGTGTAATGACAGATCATGTGACACTTAAATTGCACACAGGTGGACATCATTTCACTAATTATGTGACATCTGAATGTAATTGGTCGCACCAGAGCATTTTATGGGCTTCATAACAAAGGGGGTGAATACATACGCACATGACAATTTTCTGTTTTCTATTTCTAAAAAATAGTTTTATGTATATATATTTTTCTCATGTCACTTCACCAACTTAGACTATTGTGTTCTGATCCATCACATAAAATTCAGATTAATAAAACATTGAACCTAAGGCTGTAATGTAACAAAATAGGTAAAAAGTCAAGGGGGTGAATACTTTTGCAAGGCACTGTAGGCACCAGTTTGGTGACTATAGTGTCCCTTTAAGGATACTAAATATGGGAGCTATCTGCTGAACAGCCCGCTGTATATTTAAATATGGCAATCCCACAGAAGGGTACCAATTTTATTTAGGGAGGTATGTACTGAACGGTTAAAAGATCAAAATGAAGAAATTACCCTTTTTCTTTTTTCCATTTGTTTAGTAAATAACTCCCTCATTAGCTATACTTTTCAAAAAAAATGGATCCTAAATTAATCGATTTCATTATGGATCCATTTTCAATTTCTGCCCATTTTGAACTTGAGATGTTTCCGAATCGGCCAAAATTCGATACAAAATGAATTGCACAAGTCTATCTAGGACCAAATGTTGAAGTCTTGGAATTGGGGATATGGTCCTTTTTGTAAATTAGTTACCTGTCTGGACATGGTGGGGCAATCAACCATACTATCCATTTTCAGATTCCTTGGTTCCCCTTTGGAGACATTATGGCGGGGAAACCAGAATATCCACATTGCTCAAGGAGACTAAATTCGATAGATGGAGATTAGACTAATCAACGTGTTTCCCCGGGGGTGCTGCCTCCACCAATAACCTTTTTTCTGTTGTGCATATCCCTAAGGCATAACCTAACAAGACTCGACACAGCAATTTGTTTTTCTCTTGGAATGCTAGTATACTTAAGTTTGTAATGTACTGTGGGTGTATGGAGCAGGGGATCTGTTATGGTATGCATTTAAAGAAGACTAGCTCTGCTTTCTTCGCATTCCCCCCTCCCTTCCCATTAAATAGGTTGATACACTGCCTGGGAGTCCACACTCTGAGCATCTCGGAGGAAAGTTCACGGTTAGATTGTGTATGCCAGTTAATGAATACAGAGCAGCGTGCACTTTAACCACTGTCACTGGGGCCACAGAAATAGAAGTCTATGACCCTGAATGGAGCGTGAGTCTATGACCCTGAATGTTCTGTGTCAACCCTGACATAGACACAATAATACTCCTATAGAAGCAATACAATGTTTTTGTTTTTTTGTGTCCCTCCCCCTCCTCTCGCAATATTTTTAGTTTAGGGTTTTTTTTTTCTTCTTGCCTTGATTTTTCCTATTCTACCATGTATGGCACATATATTCGTATTTGATTATTCATTAAGCTTCAAACTGTAGTACTTTGGAAGCTGAATTGCAAAAAACTAAAACGCTGATATGGGAAAAAAAATCTTCAACTTGGATATTCTAATTTTTCCAGTTCAGTTTATATATATATATATATATATATATATATATTATTAACAACAATGAGTCTATAAAACAATACTAATAATAAACCAAAAAACAACAACATTTTAATAAGAGATAAAATTGATGGGGGGCAAGTTAAAAATAAATTAAACAATAAAATAATATTTATATATACAATCATCCATAAAAAGTTAAATATGTTTAGTCATTTAATATATCCTATTTACAAAATGAAAAAAGTTATTACAATATTAACATAATTTATTTACATAATTTGATCAGATGGGTTTCATATTGTTAAATTATATTTACTTGTGAAACTTTCTCCCCCACCCCCCCATTCATTCCTTTCTGAATATGTATGGTAAATCAATTCATGTTTACTATCTAGAATGGAATATAGAACCTCCTTATTGTCTGGCAAATCACTATTTTTCCCAGTATCTAGTTATGGTGGTAATTGCAGCAATTAGCATATCCTAGCATTCTGTTTTGATAATTTGGTAGGTGATTTGGAAGTGCCAAAGGTACACGTTTTGATCAAAATAAAACGTTAACAAAATTTTGAATTTAAACAAAAAGTTACTTAATAGGTGAACACCAGTTATAGTGGTGAATTACCTCTAAAGTTGGAGAATACCACCAAATAAAACTACCATAACCACTTTGTCACTGCAAGAATAGCCGCCACCCACGGTTAAAGAAAATACAAGGTATAGGTGTCTATTGAATAGATCAATAGTATTAACAGGACTTAGTGGAAATGGAACTCAAGGATAAAGATGTGAAAATATCTTAATAGATTGTAGAATATAAATGTATCAGCTGATCGGATCAATACCTCCCATGTGAAAGGGTAGAGGAAACCGAAAATCGCTGAAAAAATAATATAGTAATGGTTCTAAAACGCCAATGTAAGAGAACCAATACAAAGAGAAATATAATAAAATAAGTCCGAAAATAAATTACTCATACCCCATAGGGGATTAAAAATCCTTAAAGGACCACTATAGTGCCAGGAAAACATACTCTTTTTCCTGGCACTATAGTGCCCTGAGGGTGCCCCAACCCTTAGGGTCCCCCTCCTGCCTGGCTCTGGGGAGAGGAAAGGGGTTAAAACTTACCTTTCTCCAGCGCCGGGCGGGGAGCTCTCCGCCTCCGATCCTCCTCCCTTTCGCCTGAATGCGCACGCGCGGCAAGAGCTGCGTGCGCATTCAGCCGGTCTCATAGGAAAGCATTTACAATGCTTTCCTATGGACGCTTGCGTGTTCTCACTGTGATTTTCACAGTGAGAATCACGCAAGCGCCTCTAGCGGCTGTCAATGAGACAGCCACTAGAGGCTTTGAGGGCTGGATTAACCCATTTATAAACATAGCAGTTTCTCTGAAACTGCTATGTTTATAAAAAAAAAAAAGTTAACCCTAGCTGGACCTGGCACCCAGACCACTTCATTAAGCTGAAGTGATCTGGGTGCCTAGAGTGGTCCTTTAAAATGGTGTCAATTATATAGTGTTGCAGACAGAGTGCTTATTACAAAAGATTTAATAACACATTAATATATATAAAATATATATATATATATATATATATATATATATATATATATATATATATATATATATATATATATATATATATATATATATATATATATTAGTACTGACAGTATTAATGTGCCAATTTTTTCACTTGGGACATTCTGTTCATTTTTACTTATGCGTGTGTATATACACACACACAATAGATTAACCCCTTGCACTCCAACTAAAATTTTTTTATTAAATACCCGGTGCCCAGTAATCACAATACAGAAAAATAAAAAAAAATACCGGCACTCTAGGTTTTCTTCATCCGATTGGATTTATGAATCCAAAGATGTCAACGTTTCAGCTCCCGGTCGGAGCTTTCATCAGGACACATGAAATGTTGACATCTTTGGATTCATAAATTAAATCGGATGAAGAAAACCTAGAGTGCTGATATATATATAATTTTTATTTTATTTTTTTATTTTTTCTCTCTATCGATCTATCTGTATGTGTCTATATGCATAAGTAAAAATTAACAGAATGTCCCAAGTGAAAAAAGCAAAGAATACCAGGTATGTAGACTGAGGGTCCAATATTTTTCGTAACTCTCTCTCACCGGCCGGATAAATGTGAGTGTGGACCTCCTCGTGCTGTATCAACACTAGCTATCAGTCGCGTGCGTTCCACTGCGGCTCTGCATGCGTTCCAGTCTATCACAGTGTAGGATGCTGCCTTACGCGTTTCGTAATCATAGGATCACTTCATCAGAGGATGGCATCCTGAATTCTTCACTGTTATATACTATTCAGTCTGATCATCATACTCCATAGTTAACCCTTTGTGTGCTAATGCATTCTGACGCATATCTAGTCAGGGACTTTATCTCATGGATACGTCTAAATAGTATTAACAGTATATCAAAAAATATTTAAAACTACATGCAAATAGAAAATAATATACAAATTAAATATTACCTTAATGTTAACATGCTCGCTGTGTTAAGCTTTCTACATACCCTATATAGAAGGTACGGTCACATAAAGCAACCTTCACATCAAAAACTGCATTATCATATGAAAATGCCTACATTTATAATAAAAGAAATAGGAAAGGTCTCTGTTAATAGTGTGCTTTTCACAAGTTTGTAAATAAACAAATCCTTACATCAGAATTGCACAGAACAAGTTGCTTAATAGATCTCCTACGTGATTTGACATATAGAAGCTGCTTTGTTGCAAACACAACCTGTTTGTAGTCTCTCCGATTGTTAGCAGCCAGGTTGTAAATTAAACATTGCTCACCCCATACTATTGGGGCTGAGACTCTGCACATACATTTGGTAAGAAAGTCTTGGCATGTGCTAAAACCTTAATAAAATAACTCTGTGACACCATTTCTGTTGGAGTATAAAGTCCACAGCTTTATTAAAAATTTTAATTCAACAATTTAACAATTTAGGGTCCTTGTCACAAGTATTAATTATGTCCGACCTTCTTGCCCAATACCCCCGACAATGACCCTACCAAATAACATAATAAAACATTCCAATAATACATAACGTTTAACTCATGGCCTACCAAAGAGGCCCCATAACCATATGTTTAACTGTAGGGGTGTACCCAGACACCCCTACACCCCCAGATTCGTAGCCACCAACGAGCTAGAACCTACAAACCATTTTCCACTCCGGCATAGTCCAGCCTAGACCTTGGCCTGCCCACTTCCTATTCCACCTAAATCCTCTTTAACCCAGGCCCTATTCCGCCACAGCACATGACTTGACCCCCTCAAGAACATGAGCGACCCCCACCACACAAAAACAGGGCCTGTGCAATACCATCCTGAAAACCCAAATTAAGTAAATCCGATCCCACGTCGGATAGATGAACCCCATCCTTCCTAAAATACCCGGGCAGCATACATTCCAACTCCTTGTGACGCACAACTACGCCACCCATCCGCCTCACGAAAACCGCCATGGTCTTATTGACCTTACCCCTACTTCGCGCTATCGCAGCCGAATCCCTGGCGTGTCTCCAATTAAAGCGAGGCACCATTTCGGACCAGACCACTACCACGCCAGGAACCAGCTTACGTAGCCGATCCAGATCCCTCTTCATCCTCCTCAACAGTTCCCGCTGCGGGATCAAGCCTAAATCGTTCCCCCCACCATGAACCAGAATTACGTTAGGGACTGACCCCCATGCCAGCCTATTGAACAGTTCCTTACTGATGCTCTGCCAACCGAAACCCCGGAAACCCAACCAAGTGAGAACCACCGCCTCCACCGGGAAGCCCAGTTGTGCTCCGTCTCTTCTCATCGCGGCCCTCCTCCGCGCCCAATAAACGTAGGAATGTCCGATCAGCCATACCAAACGACCTAAAAGAAATAGAACAGTGAACAGCAGAGCCCTTAACAAACCACGCCCCAGTCCCCTTTTACACCAACTTGTCCGGTCTAACGTATGAGCGGAACCGAATGGACTCCCATCTTCTTATCTGTTTGATCCGCTCGTCTCCCAGACCTAACCGAGCCGCCTCCGTTGCGGCCCCAATTCTAAACGAATGTGTCCCGAAATGCATGGGTTCCAGGCCCAGCTTACCCAATCCTGCACGAAATATCCTAACGAACTGAAAACGGGACAAAGCCTTACCGTCCGCATGGATGAAGAAACAGCCTTCCTTCTCGGGGCGGACTTCCAAGAATTCGGCGCCACAAGCCACTGGGCAAACCCTAGACCCTGGCAATTTGAACAATGTTACCAAGCTTCCTTTGCCGAATATGTCCGTCTTTGAGCGGCACAACTTGACCTGTACCTTATCTTCACCAATGGTCACATCCCCCAACCGAATCCCACCAACCCCTGCTTTGTTGGTGCTAAGCAGCTCCCCAATACGGAATGCCCCGAAGAATGCCCAGACAAACGCCCCGGAAAACAACACAACTTCATATTTGGAATAACATAATGCCGGTAGAACCTCCACTAGTCCTTGCAGCACCGCGAATGACACTGGCCTCCTCGTATCCACCGATTTCTTACCCCTCCGAAAACCTCTTATGGCTTGCCTGACCAAGAAATGTTTCGTTATATCCTCCCATCCATTAAACTTAAATAGGAAGGCCAACGCCGACATGTGCCTGTCAACCATAGCTGGTGAAGCCTTCCTGGCAAATAGTCGACACAGTACCCATAACAGTATATCTAACCGATGTTCCTCTGAACAGTCCCCTCCCACTTGTGCCACCGACTCTTCCCATTCGTGCCAAACCTTCACATATGCCGCCCAGGTGCCCGGTGCCAGGGAATTCTTTATGAACTCCCCAAGCATGATGTCCCGAGCTGCTACATTTCTGCCGGACATGCCAATCCTTCCTCTTGTGCCTCCGGCGCTGCTTCCCGAAAACGTTCCCACTGTGAACGAGAAAGCGCATCAGCCACTATATTCAAGAAACCTGGAACATGCCTTGCCCTGAACACTATTGCTAGACATACATAAAAGTACCAGGTGCCTTAATAACCGTATCACTGCAGGAGATGATGCCGACAACCCATTGATAGCCTGGACCACTGCCATGTTATCTGAGTAAAATACTACTTTTTTGTTTGCGAGCTGCTTTCCCCATAACGCCACCGCTACTACCACCGGGAAAAATTCTAGGAACGCGAGGTTCCTTATCAGCGAGCTCGTCTTCCACTCCGCCGGCCACTCCTCGGCGCACCATTGCCCCGCTAAATAAGCCCCAAACCCCACGCTCCCGGAGGCGTCTGTAAACAAGCCTATGTCCTTGGAGGAAACTCCCGGCTCCCGAAAAAACACTATACCGTTAAATTCCCTTAGAAACCTTTTCCAAACCCCCAGGTCCGCTCTCATATCCACCGAAACTTTCACGTAATGATTCGGCAACCGCACACCGCTCGTCGCCTGGGCCAGCCGTCGACAAAAAACTCTGCCCATCGGAATCACCCTGCATGCAAAATTAAGACTCCCCAATAGCGACTGCAGCCCTCGCAAAGTCACTTTTCTCGCATGCCACGCTGTGTCCACTAGCTGACAAAGCTTAAGTAGCTTGTCCGCGGGCAGTCTGCATTCACCTTTTACAGAGTCAATCTCCAGGCCGAGGAAACTAAGGCATGAGGTGGGGCCAACCGTCTTATCCCCTGCCAAAGGAACCCCAAAAGAGTGTGCTATCCATTGAAACACCCTCAATATCTGGCCACACCGCTCAGATCCTTCCGGCCCTACACACAAGAAATCATCGAGGTAATGCACGATTGATCCCCCAGCCGACTCCCGTCGTACCACCCATTCCAAAAAGGTGCTAAACTTTTCAAAATAGGAACACGAGATGGAACAGCCCATCGGTAAACACAGGTCTATGAAGAAACCCCCTTCGAAGAAGCACCCCAAAAGGTGGTGACAACCCGGATGAATGGGGAGCAGCCGAAATGCTGCTTCCACGTCCACCTTTGCCATCAGTGCACCGTGTCCCGCTCTCCGAACCAACTCGACCGCATGATCGAATGATGCATAGGATACGGAACACAGCGCCGCGTCGATATCATCATTTACCGATGACCCCCATGGGTGCGATAAGTGATGTATCAGGCGAAATTTCCCTTCCTCCTTTTTAGGGACCACCCCCAGCGGAGACACCCTTAAATCTTCTATCGGCGGGGACGGAAACGGCCCCGCCATCCTCCCCATCTGGACTTCCTTCATTAATTTTTCCCGCACTACCCCCGGGTGGTCCCGGACTGATTTAAGGTTTGCACACATGGTTCCCGGACCTTTGACCTTGAATGGGATAACAAAACCCTCTGTAAACCCCCGCCATGAGAACCTCGCCTCTTCCTGATTACCGTACTGCCTTAACCACGGCAGCATCGCGCCGACCTTCACCGGCGACATTCCCAATCGCCACCGCCGTGGCTGTTGTCCCTGCTGCACCCCCGAAGTTAGATGTTTCCTTTCTTAAAACACCTGTTGACTCCATGATTTCCCCCGCATCCGGAACATTCATGTTTAAATCTACACGATGCCCCCCATTTGCACTGCCCTTCATTGAACAGCCAACAGAACCCCTTCTTCTGTCAGGCCGGTACAGTGCTTCCCGTGGCCGTACCGGCCGTCCCTTGAAAGGGCGCATTTTTCTGGGCCATCATTATTCTCATCCATAAAGGCAGGTCCATCTGATCCCACCTCATACTCGGATTCGCTGCCAACCGTTGGCGGAATTGTTCGTCGTACCGCCACCATGCTAATCCCCCATAAATCCGGTAAGCGTCCCCTATCCCGTCCAAATAACAAAACAGCTGCGAACATCGTTCTGGGTGCTTTACCCCGACTACGCTCGCCAAAATACAGAAGGCTCTGAGCCAATTCCCAAAAGTCTTGGGTATCTTCCGATACCGCCGCTTTTTCTCCTCTTCTTCTTTTTTAGCGTCCTTCTTATCCTCTTCCTTCAAGTCGAGAAATTCCTCGAGTGGAAGTAAGGAGAAGATTTCCATGAATTCCCCCTTCCCAATTTTTTCTTTTACCTCCGCTTTCAGGTGACATCCTAGTGGTCCCGCGAAGGACACATGCACGTTTTGCCGTGCCACGTCCGCTATCTCACCACCCCCGACCACCTGTTGGCCAGACCCGACTGCCTTTCCGGTTCCTGACTCACCGTCCCCCATTTCGACGGCACCCGACTTGTGTGTCACCATCCTCTCCGCCCCTTGTTCTTTATCTCCCCCGTCCTCTGGCGACCATACCCTACCAAACTGCGGGGTTGACCCCTCATCTCCCGCCCAGGAGTTAATGAAAGATTTTAAGCAACCCAATAAGGACCCAGTGTGTGGTGTACTTCGTGACTCACCGCCAGTGCCCCCGACCGTGGCCGGCCGCAGGGTTGCTGTCCTTCCGTCCGCCATTTCAGGCTCCGGAGACTCCTGTTGCCGCCGACTCCTTTCCGCCTGGCCTCTCCTCGGGACCGTAGGTGTCACGCTCCTCGACCTGCCGGGAAAATATAACCTGGGTAGTCTGTCCACGTGTTGTCCTACCCGCCTTTCCTCCCGGCGTTCCTTCCTCCTGTCACTATCGCTATGCTGTCTCGCTGCCTGACCGTCCCGGCCGTAAGACCTCCTCTGCTGGTCCTTTAAACTCCCGCCCGATGAACTGGAAGCACTGCGCCTACATCTTAGCCTCCGTTCCCTGGTGCATGACCTCTGCCTGCTCCGGTGGCTCCTGGACTGGCTCCTGTCCCTGCTCCTCCCCTGCTCTGCTGACCTCCTCTGGGTGCTGCTCCTGTCCCCTTCACTGCGCCGCTCGCTACTCACTCCTCGCCTCCTGGCCCAGCTCCTGTCCTGCTGCGCCTGAGAGCGGCCCATAGGGGGCTCCCGCTCGCCTCTGACCCCTCTGCATGTCTCCTTCCTCCTCAGCCCCTGCGGCTCCTCCATGTCCCTGCAACCTCCTGTCGCTGACCTGCCGTCTCCTCTCCTCTCATCCCAACAACTTCCTGAGGGCAGGGATTCACCCCCCCTCGCAATTCCCGTCTGCCCGGAGACGCTGCTGCCCCTGTCACCGCTACCTGTCCTGGACCTATTCCCTGTGAGGGTTAAGCCCGTCACTGACCTGCCATCTGCCTCTCCACCTGTCACCTGAGGGGGCGCTGGCGTCGAGCTGTCCTCAAGCACCCCATCCTCCTGCCCCTCAGTATCGCCACTAGGGGCGGACTCACCGGGGCGCTGAAGTTCCGGACCATCACGGCCCTGCTGCCTGGCTGCCATCCCAGCTGTACAGGATCCAGCCGTGTCCTTCTGCCTCCCGCCCGCAGACTTGCGGCGGGGCCTTCTCCCACCGGCGGGCTTCCGACTAGCGCCCGCCCGGCGCACTCCGACTCTTGAGGCCCGTCCTTCCGCCTGGGCCGCCTTTTCCCCACTTTGCGGCGCTGGACTCCTCCTCCTCCTCGCCGCTGGCGGTGCTCCCGGGCTGAGTCGTTGGGGCGGACGTGCCCTCCTGGTCGGCCTCCTCTCCGACACCGCAGTGGGGGGAGCAGACGTGCTCGGGACCCCCAGTTGATCCTGCAGCCACGCCATCCCCTTCTCTTCCACCATTCTTCTCACACCAGCCAAGATTTCTTCGGCAGAAGCCATCCCTGCAAGAAAAAGAACAGACCACACAAACCTGACAAGTATCAAGTAAGTGTGATTTTGATTAAAAAGGCCAGCTCACCAAATTGGCTGTTATTTAAACCCTTATTCTCCTCCCCTCCTGTCCAGACATTACTTTTCCACACCCCTTGACCTTAACTTCACCTGCCAACTCTCTGGCCCTGTCAAGGCCCACTCCCCTCATGTGTTGCTCCATGGGCTTCATTCTGGCATGAGGGGTTGTGGCTTATGGTGCAACATTTTGCAAAACCATTAATTTAGTTTATGCAAAAAATGCAGCATACTAATGATGCCAAAATTGATCAAATACATTACATTTGTATTGGGCCCAGATTATCCCTTTAATTGTATGGCTTTCAAACCGTCCATAATAGGATTGCATAGTGTGAGTATGCCCTGCTTACACGCTACCTACAGAAACTTGAACAGCCATAACCTCATAGTGCAGGCTTGTGATATAGTTTCAACAGTATTTGCTGGAGCAATATTAAACCATATGAAGGGAGACCAGGAATTCAGACAGAAACACAGGCATTTGGAGTGTCCTTGAAGATGAAAGCCCTCCCCTTCTTACCCTGCACAGACTTTGTGACTGTCCAATCAGACTTTCCAATGCAGCTCAATGAGAAGTCTTTGTAAGGCAGTTGCTCGGAGCAATTGATGCCTTTTGAGTTTAACTCCATCGCGGTAACCAAACCAGGAAGTAACAAGACTGTCCAAGTGACAGCTAGGGACAGGGTTAATTCATAAGTTCTAAATTCTATTGAAATTGCACTTATTTGAAACGTGTGTGTGTGTGTGTGTGTGTGTATATATATATATATATATATATATGTGTGTGTGTGTATATATAAAAACACACACAGAGCATTTCAGTGCTTTCTAGGTCTGGACTGTGGAATGTCCCTTTAATTCTTAACGCATTTACTATAACTTAAAAAGCAAACTAAAGTTTTACCACCGGCACACAAACAAGTTAGCTCCCATATGTATGTTTTTATTTGTTGCTATTGTTGTGTTTGGTTTTTTGGGCTTAAACCCTCCCCATACCTCCTAATTCCAACAGTCCAAGAATCTGCATACCAGTGAGAGGGGACTAAAAGGGGTGGTCCAATGACATGATTGTCACTGGTTTTGCCCCAAACGTGGTGCTCCAGCCCTGAAAGTGACAGGTCAGCATGCACACCAGACAGCCTTCCAATCATTTAAGTTAGCCCACTGCTTCAGTGCTTCATGCCAGGTCCAGAGCGCAGCTAATGAGCCACTCTCGCTATGCTTGTGGGAGACAGTTCCCTGGTGTCCCCAAATGCTGGACACCAGGGAACTAAGTTGGGACTGGACCCGCAAATTGAGACTCTCAAGGCAAAATCGAGTCCGTTGGGACACATGCCATCCTTTGTTCCTTCTCTTTCAACTAAGATGATGATAAATAGCTAAGTAAATCATTTTATACACCTTTTTGGAGGAGGCCAAATAAATTAATTGGCAGGAAAACACATACTTGCATTTCTAATTTTAGTGTTCCTTTCAATCTTCCACATTTCCTTTTTCACTTACTGTAGTAACCCACTATTAATTGACTTCCCTGGTGCAGGTACTGGTGCATGTATGTTTAGAGCCCAAGAAAAAGTGATTTAAAATGGCTTTTCTGAATGCATAGGAAAAAACTATTATAGAAGGAATGTCATGACTGACATATAAATCCTTGATTTAGCAATGTTACCCAGACACAATGTCCAGTATGAGTTTGTTAGAAAATCAACATATTCTACTAACAATAATAACACAGGTCTGATAAGAATGTCTAATGTTTTTACTGGAAAGTCTACGGATATGTCTGTGTTTGCATGTTTTGATGCATATCCTTTTTGTGCAATGGCACACACATGGCAGACCAGGGTGGGGTTGTAAGATCTGTTTTTCTTTTTATTGTTCTTAACATTTCCTCTTTCTCTTGCTTTAATTTCCCTAGCTGCTTTTTATGGAAGAAGACAATGTTATAGGGTTTGTATTAAAAGCAGTCTCGTCATCCTCTTGCTTTCATTGTTTCATTGTTTTAATATAGATGATCTACTGTTATTTTAGATTAAAAGGCCTAGGGCCACTCATGCAGTCTTTGGTACTCTGGGCACCACAACCACTACATCATGCTTCATCATAACTGGCAATGTGTTGAAGAACATGCACATTGGTAGTTCAAAATGCTATCTTTTTTTTTTTTCATTTTATTTTTTTTTCATTTTGTTTCCTTGCCTTTTATCATTGGTTGAACCTGCATGCTGTATAAATGCGTGAGAAAGTGATCAATGGTGCAGATGCTAAATGAGTCACTGCACTTGAATATACATATCACCTTGCTAAGACAAGGATTATTAAATCTTATACCAGAAATGGCTAACCATTGGGTACCCAAGCTACAGTCCAAAACCACCAGAGTATCAAAGATTAGTCATCACTGTTTTCTGCAATTTGACGAATGTAAGCTGCATGCGATTTGCTAAATATCATGCACATTCCGCTAGCATCTAAGTTCTTCTTTGCTGTGCCCTGCAGAGAGATGCAGTTGGTGGCTCTGCTGAGAGAGGATTAGACCCACCTGGTTTTACTGGATCTCTGGAGAGCTGGACCTGGAGATCTCCTCTGCATCCAACCAACAGCAGCAGCATTGACTCAGGCCACCGGAGCGGACTTGTGCCAGGTAGAAAATCATTACATTTTTTATTTCTTAAAAATGTAAATCTTTGGCAAGAATCTCACAAAGAATAATGCTGATTTTTTTATTTTTTTTTTATTTTTTTTAACACATTAAGTTAACTGCTATACCACACCACGACCCTATATACGAAAAAAATCTGACAATCCGGATCCTGAACGTTGCCAAACAAGTAGTCCAGAGACACCCCCACTCTCTACTTGGTTCGCTCAAATGGAGGAATTCCAGGCAGTGGGCACCAGTGTCCCTAAACAAACGTACTTGGCAATATAGTCGCACTGGCTTCTTAAAACCACAAAAACCTTTACAAACTTTACAGACCGGCTCTGCTACAGGCCACAATAGACTGATGAAACAATTATTTAAAAAAAAAAAAAACACACACACATTTTCTTTTACTCTCCTCCTCATAACCTCCTTCCTCAAATGTATTCAGACGAACTTGAAATGTGGATATATGTAACGACCAAGTCCCAATACTTGTTACTCATGCGAAACATACAAAAAAAAACCCACAAATTGAGTATATTCATCTTGGGACACTGTCAATTAATCCACTGGAACCTTCGTTAACCTGTTGGTTCAAAACAGTCCTAGGATTACACAGACGTTGGTAGGGCTTTTGCTGAGAGATCCTCTTTAACCAGTCTAGGGTTCCTGTGTCATTCTTACTGTTGCTTTAATATTGGTTTAGTGTTTTATCCTGTCTTCCAGGTCTGATTGCAGCCGCAATCTTTATTGTGTTTCTGCTCTGCCTGTACACAATCCTGTGGAGATGTATGGTGTCACAATCAAAAAGGTAGGTTTACCAGTCACGGGGTTCTGAAAGGATTAGCAATAAGAAATGAGATCACCCTTGTTATTGGATGGAAGGAGTAGGGGGGGGTGGATGAGTGGGCGTATTGTAATGTGCTGCAGTATCTCAGAGACTTTGGTCAGCAGAGTGCCATTACATTTGTTTAGCAGGGGCAGCTTTAGGCATCTACATTTTGTCATTGCTTGCACATCTATCACTGCTCCCTTGTAGCTCTATAACTAATATTTTGCTCATGATTAATACACCAGTAACCAGGGAGAGTGGAGGATTTTTAGCTAAACCGTGCACCCGCCACCTAAAAAGCATCTTCACCGGTGCATATCTTAACCCCCCTTTTGAATTTTTTACCCACTTTTGTGTTATCGATCTGTTATTTTGAATGTCTTACTCCCTTTTGCGTATTTTATTCCCCTTTTGTCTTACTTCCCTCTCCCTTTCTGTGTCGTACACCACACCTTTGTGTCTCTCCTCCCCTCCCCCCAGCCCCTTTGTGTCTTTCTCCTTCCTCTAGTCACTGTGTGTGTCTCTCTCTCTCTCTCTCTCTCTCTCTCTCTCTCTCTCTCTCTCTCTCTCTCTCTCTCCTCCATCCCAGCTCCTGTCTCTTACTCCACCTCTCCAGCCCTTTTTGCACATCTTTCTCTCCTTCCCCAGCCACTCTCTCGTTGTCCCCCCCAGTCCTTTTTTGTGTTACTTTGTCCCTATCTAGCCCTCTCTCCCCTCCTCACGGAGCGCACCTAAAGGCTTCCTGTTAGAACACGTAGAGGATACAGAAGATCCTCTACCAGGTTCCGCGCTTCCTCGCTACAAGGAGTGACCGACAGGAGGGGGAGTGCTGTGTACTCCCCTCTTGCCAGTTACCTGGTAATTGCACTCAGCAATGTCCTCCTGTGCTGCCTTAGGGTTGTGCAGGCCCTGCCAGGAACAATGGTTCCTCAACACACTAAAGCAGTGTAAATGCTTCTTTTGAGTAAAATATTCAACTAGATGAACAGGACATTTTGGTGACTGGCTTAAGTAGAGGGAACTATAAGGAGGGTTAATGAGATAACATCTGCTGGAATGCAGGTGCACAGTATCTACAAAGTATCTACTCTATAAAAATTGGAAATTGACTCTTGACACATACATACATAAACACACTGTATGTACAAACGTGCTCCATTCCCATACACTGACACTGCACACCAGAAAAATTGCTGCGCACAGGTGTTTGTAATGGAGAGTAACTTCTAGGACTGGCTAATAGCTCAGGAAATTGAATTTTGAGCTCTGTGTGTACAAAGAGTGTGAGTTTATTCCTGTTTCTGGATTTAACCTCCAGGCATCGAAAGCGTCTGCAGAGAGCAAAGAATAGCAAACGAACACTTCCTCATAAGCCTGTCTGTGCTGTGTGATGTGCGGACTGACCCCCTCAATGTGTGACATTATCTACTGAACTTTGCACCATGACCATTGCAAGACCATGGAACCCTGCAGACCTCTCTAACAGCATATGCCAAGTTCTGTGCAGCCATGTCATTGCGGGAAATGTAATGCCACAATCACGGCTTGAAGCAAAAGGCAATAACCACTTTCTAGTATTGCCTGCAAAGCAGGTTTATATGTTTTTGTATGTATGTATTTTGATTTCCAGAATATAATGGATATTTATTTTTAGAGCTTTATAGACCCTTCACAGATTGTGGAAGGCTACAGAGCGTTTGCACCTTCTCAACCCCTTTGCAGAGTGCTGCTACTATGTAAATAAAGACTTGATTTGTGCCAAAATCTGTGAACCTCATTCTTTCTGAGGAAGTGGAGAAATAGCCTGACCGCCCACTTAAATCAGATAGAACCTGGAACTGTTTAAGTAGTAGAGATGTTGCGAACTGTTCGGGGCGAACTCTGTTCAGCTGACACATCCCGGCCAATCTCCAGCAGACCCTCCCTCCCAGGCAGCTTCAACATGGATGCTGTCCAGGAAGTAGGAGGGTCTGGGAGGGAGGGTCTGCTGGAGATTGGCCGGGATGTGTCAGCTGACCGGAGTTCGCCACGAACAGTTCGCGACATCTCTATTAAGTAGCACCCAAACTGCATTGTTGATCCAGAGATCTTGATGGTTATTTACTAGAGTGAGAATTGTCAGGAATTCAGTGTGAATTCAAAATTATTTTCAAATTTAAAGGCCGAACTAGTATAATTTGAATAAAATCTGCACATCTGCTGTGTTTTTAGTCTACAATTTTAAAATTCAATTTGAATTCTCACCAATTATCACTTTAGTCAATAATTCTGCTGACAGGGCTAGTATGCTCAGTGGGGTCAGTTACCTATTCAAAGGGTCTTTCTCCCAATCACAGAACACTGCATGCTTACAGTACGCTTATGCTGGTAAAATGTTTTTTCTTTTTCTCAACCTCTTCCATGGAGTAGCATTTCCTATTTGAATTGATTGGATTAAACCGAACACTCTTATCCAAATGCAATTTTCTTCTCCATTAACTTCAAACATTTCTAATAACCATAACCGGTGTATGGGTCCTTTTTTTTTTTTTTTCTCTTAATACAGTGGGACCTCGGTTTACGAGTTTAATGCGTTCTCCGGGACGTTTCTTATTTCAAAAATTTGTAAACCGAAACGCGCTGTCCCATAGGAATGCATTGAAAACCAATTAATTTGTTCTAGAGGTCAGAAAACAGTCAAAATGAGCTGGCATGAAAACCAACCCACAACGCAGAACACACAATAAAAGGCATGCAAACGACAAAGCTCAGCTCCCTACATTTCCACAGCTTGAGAAATGCACCAAAAAGTCCCAAAATAACTGCAAACAATTTCCAGAATGGCTCCAAAACTCTATGCAAAAGCCGCCCCAACACCTCCACACTCGACGCCACGTGCTACCCACAGGCTCCAGCGTGCAGGGGCAGTGCTATAAACTCCCAGGTGCAATACATCATGGGGAAACTTGCTTTGTATTGCGAAATTGTTTTTAAACCGAAGCATTATTTTCAATGGTTTTTCATTTGTAAACCATAAATTATGTTAACCGAGGCGTTCTTAAACCGAGGTCCCACTGTACTTGATTCCATAACAATCCTATTCCAAAACAAGAAGTGCCACTTGTTTTAATAACAGTATGACTATAAAAGCTCTTGATTTAACTGATCAGGTCATTCTTGGCTGGCAAAGGCAATGCAAGGACCAATTACTGATAATGGTAATTGTTCGTGATCTTAACCCCTTAAAGGACCACTCTAGGCACCCAGACCACTTCAGCTTAATGAAGTGGTCTGGGTGCCAGGTCCAGCTAGGGTTAACCCATTTTTTCATAATTATAGCAGTTTCAGAGAAACTGCTATAATTATGAATGGGTTAAGCCTTCCCCCTAATCCTCTAGTGGCTGTCTCATTGACAGCCACTAGAGGCGCTTGCGTGCTTCTCACTGTGAAAATCACAGTGAGAGCACGCCAGCGTCCATAGGAAAGCATTGTAAATGCTTTCCTATGAGACCGGCTGAATGCGCGCGCAGCTCTTGCCGCGCGTGCGCATTCAGCCGGCGGGGCGGAGAGGAGGAGGAGAGCTCTCCGCCCAGCGCTGGAAAAAGGTAAGTTTTTACCCCTTTCCAGAGCCGGGCGGGAGGGGGACCCTGAGGGTGGGGGCACCCTCAGGGCACTATAGTGCCAGGAAAACGAGTGTTTTCCTGGCACTATAGTCCTTTAAGGACACATGATGGAAATATTCCATCACATTTCCCTTTTATTCCAGAAGTTGTGTCCTTAAGGGGTTAAAGGGAATCTTAAAGGGACACTCCAGGCACCCAGACCACTTCTGCCCATTGAAGTGGTCTGAGTGCCAACTCCCACTACTCTTAACCCTGCAAGTTTAATTATTGCAGTTTTTTATAAACTGCAATAATTACCTTGCAGGGTCAACTCCACCTCTAGTGGCTGTCTACTGGACAGCCACTAGAGGGCACTTCCTCCTTTATAGCACAGAAAACCTGTGCTAGAGTGTCGTTGGATGTCCTCACGCTTTGTGAGGACCTCCAGCGTCGCTTAATTCCCCATAGGAAAGCATTGAAAAGCATTTTCAATGCTCTCCTACGGGTTGCTCTAATGCGCAAGCGCGGCACAGCCGCGCTTGCGCATTAGGTCCCCCCGGCCGATGTAATACAGAGGAGGAGCGGTGGCGGAGGAAGACGCAGCGACATGGGACATGTCGCTGCCTCTGGTAAGTTACTGAAGGGGTTTTCACCCCTTCAGCAACCAGGGGGGTGAGAGGGATAGGGGACCTGCAGCGCCAGGAAAACTGATTGTTTTCCTGGCACTGGAGTTTCCTTTTAAGCAAGTTGAAATGTTTGGATACTACCAACTGACCAATTCTAGAGATAGCATTAGAATAGGCTGTGTATGGGTGTGTAGAATGCTTTAACTTCTGAGTTATTTCAAATTTCAGTTCAACTACTCTAGCTTTGACATTATTATTTACTAAACTGAGTTCAAGATGAATTTCTAAATTTAAGATGAGGGTTTCCAAACGGAAAGAATAGCTGACTTGCATAGTTTTCCCAGTTAGTCTGTCAGCTACGCTTTCAGTTCAGTTACTCTCGCCTTAAATTTGAAATTCACTTTGAAAGCTTACTTTGGTTTTAAACATATACAGGTTTATTTACTAATGTGAAAAGAATGAAAATTATTTGTTTGGATTACTCTTAAATGTGTCTTTTTTATTTTTTTTATTTTTTTTTTCCTATTGGTAGACAATCCCGCTGTAAATGTTAGAACATGATTGTGACACTGTGTGTGTGTATGTAATGTCAATTTTAAAAAAACACCTATTGAAGAAGACCAGGTGCAAAAAATAGTATTTTATTGTACAATATTTTTCTTGTATAATATGAACAAAAAGACCTTAATTGGCCCAATACTCAGTTCAGAGTCCATTTTTGACATACTCTATTGTATAAAAATCATCAGGGTGAACTCATGAGAGCCCCTCTAATTAGTAAAAGTTCAGTTATTGCACACTGGTAGATCTTATTAAAACACTTCCTGCACCATAGTGTTGAATGCTGATTGTAAAGCACAGTGAAGGCTATCTGGTACGTGTCCATGAGGCAATCTCAGCCTTTGCTGCTCGAGGTGGAAGCACTCTGTTAAAGTTCGGAGTGTCTCTTCTGCTACTTGCTTATTTTCTATTTGGTCTTGGCTGGATTCTCATCCTCTTGAAAGTCGACATTGTTGTGTGTATTCTTCTCCACCCTCTTCTTCCTTTCTTCCTCCTCTTGCTTTTCCAGTAACAAAGCTTTATTAATACCAGGACCTGCACAAAGAAAGGTACTTCTGTTACTTCAGATGGTCTTTTTATCTAAAATGTATTTCTCACTGAACACTTCACTGTAAGTGATCTGCACATTCTCATTTGTTACTGATATGGTTAGCTTATTATTATGGTATTTATATAGCGCTTGGGTGGACGAACAGACATGTAGTTGTAACCAGACAAGTTGGACACAATCTATTACAACACTGCCCATGATTCTGGGCTTTCTCCTGGAGATAGAGTATACTGCAGAATCTATATAAAACTGTGCTGGACCTATTGCTCAGACTGTACATGATAGAAGAGTTGGAGCATTGAAGAATGGTTAGAGCTGGAATGTCCATCCTCGGCCCCCAGCTGTGGTCATTCTACCTTGTCCATAATTATCTCAACAGCCAGTTTATTCTCACTATAGCCAGAGTGCCAAGTTTGGAATGTTCAGGATGAATCATTTAGAGCAGAATGAGTATGTTAAACCAGCTTGTGACTGTGAAATCCGTGCTTCATGGAAAATGATGATCGTCACAACCTTACCATGGCTTGGTATAATTTCTGTATGAATTTTCACAAAATGCAGATTTTAAAATTGTCTTCGGTTAAAGCTATATATCTTGTGTGGAAATTGAGCTCTATAGTGTCGATCAACTGGTTTTGGATCCCAAACTTCATAAGGAGCTATGCTTACCTATCAAGTGGACTTCGTTGCCAACAAAACACAACCCTTAACAGGTCATAAAACAGTCTATATGTGTCCTGATTTTCTAAAACTTTATTTTAATCTACTTTTTTTGGGGGGGCTATTCAAACCAGACAGTTTTCAGCAACAAGTTGCATAACAGTGCAATGATGGGGTTTTTTTTTTTCCTCTCTATTCAAAGTTTATTAAGTTGAAAAGTACATACAATGAAAAGAATGCAATCTAACTGAGAATGCATAGTTATCAGAAAGCAATATAACCAAAGAGTGATACATGAAAAGAGAGGTTATATAATCATCGAAGAGAGACAACCATATGGAGAATACTACATTGTTGTATAACAGCATCGTCTAACAGAGTAACGCTAGGCTTGTTGTTGCCAAACACACAAGACAATGGTAAAATAGTTGGGTTAGTATGTTAAAGTGAGGTCTGGATACCCAACGGGCATACAGGGTGGATGCAGTATTGCACTGCTTAAGGCCAGCATTTATGCCAGTAGTGCGTTGCACCCATGGGGCAGTGTAGGTTTGCGTAATGAGACCAAGTTGGTTACCGTATCCCTAAGCCTGTGTTTTCAGTAATTGAAAGATACAGCAAATATCCGGCTCGACAATTATGTTGCTATTGGAGACCCTTAGGTTAGTTATACCCTTTGCTTGTAGGCAGTCCCAGGTGCGAGTTTAGGTGTTTTGGTGTTGAAGGTAGGACACATAGGTCCTCTAAAAAAGAGGGGGGTGGGGGGAAGGGAGAAGAAAATGGGCAGAGGGGGAGTACAAGGTCAGAAAAGGTTAGTTACGGATGTGGGAAAAGAGGTATGTAAGTTAAAGGTCAAGACGGAGAAGATGTAAGGCGGGGAGATCAGACCTCCGATCTCATCCCACCCCCCTCCCCCGGTCAGCTACCACACTCCTCTGCCACTAATCAGGCTATGTCCTTCTTATGTGGCGAGACGCTCGGTGTAGTGAACATAAGTCCCTGATGCTATTGTGGTGTTGGGTTGTTGAGGGACCCACTTCAGCTAACGACTGGTCCAGGTAGAACAGTGCAATGATTTCAAGGCACCCATCAAAATTGTTTTTGTTTTCTCTCCATTAAAATGTTTTTTCTGAAACCATCTAAAATGTTCATGCTGCATGGACCGTTTACATAAAAAAAGCCACTTGTGACAGTTCAGAAGTGGCTCACTCATCCAATCTGCCCTTTGTAAATTCTCAGTGTGATACAAATGGATTGTTCTCTCAGGATCGCCTTGCTCATATGCCAAGCATTCCAGAATTCTACATTCCTTACTACATTCTATGAACTACTTCCACTGGAAGGCAGTCTGCATATATGCTACTATTTCTGTATAGTAGTATTAAAGGACCACTCTAGGCACCCAGACCACTTCAGCTTAATGAGGTGGTCTGGGTGCCTGGTCCAGCTAGGGTTAACCCATTTTTTCATAAACATAGTTTCAGTGAAACTGCTATGTTTATGAATGGGTTAAGCCTTCCCCTATTTCTTCTAGCGGCTGTCTCACTGACAGCCGCTAGAGGCGCTTGCGTGCTTCTCACTGTGATTTCAAAGTGAGGGCACGCCAGCGTCCATAGGAAAGCATTGATAATGCTTTCCTATGTGACCGGCTGAATACGCGCGCAGCTCTTGCCGCGCGTGCGCATTCAGCCAACAGGGAGGAGGAGAGGAGGATCAGAGGAGGACATCTCTCGCCCAGCGCTGGAAAAAGATAAGTTTTAACCCCTTTCCCCCTTCCAGAGCCGGACAGGAGGGGGACCCTGAGGGTGGGGGCACCCTCAGGGCACTATAGTGCCAGGAAAACGAGTATGTTTTCCTGGCACTATAGTGGTCCTTTAATGCAAATTCGAATATAAATAAAAATGTAAACAAATTACCTCGAGTGTCTGAAATGCTAGACACACTCAGGGTATGTCTGAAACCATTTTATCCAATATATTTAAACAGATACAGTTTGAAACCAGCATCTTGCTCCTTAATAAAACAATCAAAATTCTAGAAAAATAGCATAATTACTTGTAAAGCACTTCCTTCATCAGCTTTGTTTAATATCCAGTGTTTTTTTCATTAAAGGGACACTACACGCACCAAGCCTGGGTGCCATGTCCCTCCCGTTTTAATCCTGCAGTGTAAGACATTGCAATTCTTCAGTAACGGCAATGTTTACATTGTAGGGTTTATATTTTAATTCAGTGCAAATATGTAGTAGCAATATGAAGCATAGATACAAATATGTACACGCTTAGTCAATTGTAAAAAAACAGATCTGTGCACTGCCCAGAGTACAAATCCACAAAGGGTAGCGGCGCAACAGTGCTGAAGGTGCCTGTAGCTGTACTTCCCTGAATAAAGGGGGTAACACTACTACAATAACTACTTGGTGTACCTCACATATATTTGAACCTCACTATGTTTGTGTAGACTATTCACAATGGGTAGCACTTTTTTGTTACTTTAAATGCATTTTTAGTTACCTGAGGGCAAGCTGGTTCAGGTAGGCACTAGTGGGAATCCCACAATGCTGTGGTACTTAGGGTCAGTTTGTTTGGCTACAATTGTGAGGCATATGCTTCCTCATTTTTTTCTCTTTTTGCTATTGGACAGCTAAAGTTTAAAGGGGGAAGGAGGACCTTTCCTTTGTTTCTTCCCCACCATTCTCTCCTTTCTGTCAAGCACCAAGAACCTTATAGCTGCTATTAGGATTTTTTTTATCCCTATTTGGGGGCTTATCTACATTCTTATTGACCTCTCTGCTGCCTTTGACACCGTTGATCATGCTCTCCTTCTTCAAACTCTTCAATCACTCGGTCTCTGTGGCTCTGTCCTCTGGTGGTTTTCCTCTTATCTCTTCCAACGCTCATTCAGTGTCTCCTTTTCTAATGATACCTCCTTCTCTCATCCTGTCTCGGTTGGAGTCCCCCCAAGGCTCTGTCCTTGGTCCCCTTCTGTTTTCTCTTTATACTGCCTCTGTTGGCAAACTTATTAACTCATTTGGATTCCACTGATGACACCCAGATATATCTCTCCTCCCTGGACCTCTCCCCTGCCGTCCTACAACGTGTCACTGCTTGCCTTTCTTCCATCTCTGACTGGATGTCCTCCTGCTTTCTGAAACTCAAACTCTCTAAAACTGAGCTCCTTGTCTTTCCTCCTCCTAATACTGATCCTCCTCTTTCGCTCTCCATTCAAGTTAGTGGTATCCACATAAGTCCATCCTTGGAAGCGCACTGTCTTGGCGTCATACTTGATTCTGGCCTCACCTTTGAGCCTCACATCCAGTATGTTACCAAATCCTGTAGATTCCATCTTCAAAAAACATAGCCCGCATCTGCCCCAGTCTTATGCAAGATGCTACCAAGCAACTTGTCAATGCTCTCCTAATTTACCTTCCCAAAAGCCGTATTGCCCCGCTACAGTCTGTAATGAATGCTGCTGCCAGACTGATTTTCCTCTCTAGTCAGACCTCTCACACCTCACACCTCTGTCATTCCTTACATTGGCTTCCTGTATCCTATAGGAGTCAATTCAAAGTGCTAACCCGTACCTAATAAAGCACTGAACAATTATAGCCCCTCTTATATCTCTTCACAG